TCTTGCTGCCATCAGTGGAGAAAACAAAGCTGGCCAAGGCAATGGTGAGGAAGAATGACAAGTTGGTTAGAGTTGCACATGATCATGATGATGGAAATCTCCCTGTTATTGTGGCTGCTTTGTATGGCCGGAGGCGAATGGTCCGGTATCTCTATTCCAAGACACCCAAGGATGAGCTAAGTCCCGAAAGAGGCGAACATGGTGCCACACTGCTCAATTGTCTCATCACTGCTGATATCTATGGTAAGATTGCACAGTACTTCTTGATGCATCTGTTGCTGGAACTAGTCCAATTGGTGTTATGCCCACTTAGAACTCACATCATACACACACTAATCTCAATTATATGTTAACAAATAGGCTAAAAAATAAAGAAAAACCTTTTTTATTTTTTTGTAGAAAAACTCCTAGCATCTATATATCATAATTCTCCCAATTCTTGTTGTTTGCTTATAGATGTTGCTTCAATGCTGCTGAAACGGTATCCACATCTGGGCGTGGTCCGAGATCATTATGGGAACTACACACTCAGAATGTTGGCTCACAAGCCTTCTGCTTTCCCAAGTGGAAGTAAATATGTAAGCTGGAAAGGATTGATCTACTCATGTGAGTACCCTATTTAATGCTATCCTTCTTGAATGAGCCTATCTGCATACATACTGTTTAAACAGTTACAGTTTGACCCCCCTCATATACGTCCCTTATCTCGAATTGCACCTAGACTATGGTTCTTGCTCTCAAGTACCCTAGTTCTCACATTGCACCTCCAAGAATGTTTATTGGTTTCACATTACCCTAAATATTGGATATTGAAAATGTGTATTTTACTACACAAATGGATGTTTTATGTCCAAAAACATGACGGGTTTAATTTGGAGGCAGTGCAAAACCAATTTAAAGTAGTTGAGTGAGCAATGTTAGAAACTCTTAGAAACTCAATAGTAAAAGGGGCAAAAGTGAGACTAGGGTCATAATTGAGGGAGTGAAAATATAATTTTCCCATGAATCTAAGCAAAAGAGTTGGCATATGGTCATAATGATGGAGTTAATTTCACTCTGGTACTTCTACAATTTCAGATATTTACACGCTGCACCCCATTCCCTCCTTCACCTTTCAAACATAGTTTTGCCGCCAATGCTAAGTTGCTTGAACCTTGTGTTTTAATATTGACAATTATGTAGAGAATGGGCTCTAGGGCAATAATAAGATTATCCCACTACAGCGTGAGCACTACGATTCGAGTTATAGATATGATCTATACTCTTATGGGTAAAAATGTGTACAAAATCTGTTAGAAGTCTTATACCGATCGTCAATATATTTTTTCTTGAATAATGAATCACCTAACATACATTTAAATGAGACCTATTGTATAAATTGGGATCCCTCACTCATTAATGGTTGATGATCCATCAAGAAGAAAATTGAAGAAAAAATATATTAGAGGAGATCTGAATCCTAATTTTTTGGGGACCAAGTTATAATTTTCGGGGGATAGTAATTTTTTTTTTTGGATACTTTTGGATTCTCACTTAAAAACTTAAGAGAAGAAAAGGAAATGATTATTAGTTTCTGTTTCCTAACTACACCAAGGCTTGCGGGAGTAGGGGCATCATATGTGATGATGGGTTCATCCATGAAATCGAATTAATCTTTTTTAGAAGTGAGAAATGCAATCATTTCATTTGAATATATATTCCCACTGCAGGGGTAACCGTGCATTCACCATGGGATGGTCAAAGGTGGCACCACCATGGATCGGTTGATGTAGAGAGCAATAAAATTCAAGGACTGAGCAGTGATGAAAGGAGCATCGAAATTCACGATTCTAGTGATGAAGAGCTCGACGGAATGCCGCACAAAAGTCCCACTGTCGGAGGAACTATAGTCAACGAAGGCAAGTTTGTTGACTCTCTCTCTCTCCCCCCCCCCCCCCCCCCCACCCAACAAAAAAAAAAACATAACAATAACCATGAGGTAGTAAATTCACCATATTTAGATACTAACAATAAGCCTGTGACATATTTTGACTTATTCAGACATTCTGTAAGACCAATAATCGAGTATTAATTGTGAAGTGTTTATATTTTAAATAATAATTTTTTTTATTTATGTAATTCAAAATTAAAATAGATATAGAGAAAATGAGCACGAGTTGGGGAGATAGAAGAGAAGTAGCCGTGACTTAGTAGGGTGTTTGATATTGAAGACTGTGTTGATTTGGTTGTTTGACATTAGGAGCCGTGTACAGAAGATAACTTTCTTAGACGGATTTTTTTTTTTTTTTTTGGAATGAATTTTGTACAGTTAGATAAAATTACAAGAAGATTGGATTAATCTCAACCAATATTGCTGTGTTTATATATATGTGCAATTTAAATTGTTGGCTGTAATATTAGATAGAAGATTAATGGGATAATTCTTTTTTTTCATATTGATAAGATATTCATTTATGGGTTTAATTAGTGTAATTACTTAAGGATTCTTAGGCTGAAATTCAGCAGTAATCACAAAAGTTGCTTCCGCTATTGTACTACTGATATTAGACATGTTACGATCGATTAGAGCTAGCAATACCTAACATGATATGCTAATCAAATACAAAATCAACATAAAGTTTTGTTTATTCCATATATATTAGGGTCATAAGCGAGTTAATTGGATATACATTCTTTCACAATAAATGAGTTGACATAAACTCAATTTTGCAAAACTCGCAAAGCTAACTATAGTTAATACAAACCTGACTATTCATTAAAGTTGGCTTGTCGATGATGAGAAGATTTCGATACGACACTAATTTATACTATCGGACGAAGACACAAACCCAACGCGCCAAGACTCATTGTCATGAATTTATGCTTCTGATTACTTATTTTACATGCTCATGATAAAGGCTGGAAAATCTCACTCGATCATTCTCATATTGAGTTTTGCAGTACTGTGGCTATTGCATGGTTTGGGTTGGAGAATTTTAAGATGCGTCGGTAATTATCATCTCCTAATATTTTCTCTCTAATTAATAAAATGTTAAATAGATACATTGAATAGTATTGACTTATTTTTTTTTTTGTTGTTTTAAATCACAGTCCCAGACATCAAGCATATACATGACAGAAAACTGGTACATGTTGAAGCTGTTAAACTCCTGAGTGTCATTTTTAAGGAGTTACCAAAACTAAAAAAGTCACAACTTGAAAGCATGGAAATAGATAAAGCAATATATGATGCCATCAAGCATGGGATCATTGAATTTGTTGATGAAATACTCAAGTACAATCCCGAAATCATATGGCGAAAAGATAATAAAGGAAGAACAATTTTTTCCAATGCTATTGTTCTTCGCCAAGAGAAGATTTTCAGCCTGATTTACAGACTGGGAACAAAGAAGAGTATAATGGCCCGTCGGCATGATGTGTTTGGTAACAACTTCTTGCATCTGGCTGCAAAATTATCTCCTCCTACTCAACTCGAGCGCGTTTCTGGGGCAGCTATGCAGATGCAAAGAGAACTACAATGGTTTAAGGTAACCACATTCATTTCTTAGATTCTGCTTCTGCTCCCCCTTCCCCCCTTCCTTGATTTGTTGCGAAAAATTGGAGACAAGTCCACAATTGGGGTAATGCAAAACTCAAACCAATCATTCCAGTTGGAATGTGAAAAAGTGGATAGTTTAAGTGGTAATGTATAACGAGGGGTATAGTTAAGGAGATGTAAGCGTAATTTGATCAAAAACATTTATTTTCCCTTTTTTGACATGAACATAAGATTCTTAACTACCTCTTCAATATAGGAGGTGGAAAGCATGGTACAACCCAAATTGAAAGAGGAAGTGAATGAAAATAACAAAACACCGGGCACTTTGTTCACTGATGAACACCAGGAGTTGGCAAAAGAAGGGGAAAGATGGATGAAGAACACTGCAGGATCAAGCATGATTGTAGGCACTCTCATTGCCGCGGTGATGTTCACAACAGCCTTTACAGTTCCGGGTGGTAACAACAACAAAAATGGCCTGCCTATCATGGCGGAAACCCAGCCTCGGGCATTCTTGGTTTTCATGGTTTCAAATGCCTTATCAATGTTCACTTCTTCAACCTCAGTGCTTATGTTTTAGGAATTCTCACAGCGCGTTATGCAGAAGAAGATTTCCTCAAGTCCTTGCCCACAAAACTTATCTTTGGCCTTTCATGCCTCTTCTTCTCCATTGTGACCATGATGGTATCCTTCGGGGCGTCTCTGTATTTGATACTCCATCAACAGTTGAGTTGGGTTTCCATTCCGATTATAGTTTTTTCCATTATTCCGATAGCTCTTTTTACAATGCTGCAATTTCCACTCCTCCTTGAGATGATCTACCGTACCTATGTAACTGGCATCTTTGACAAGCCAAAGAAACACCATCTCCACCTTCTTCATTAGCGGACTATCTATCATCGAACTATGAGTTAATCAAATGCGGTTGCAAACTATTGTATTTCCCCAATGTCATATCTTTTAAATCTTTGTAATGGTTATTGTTATGATTTTTCAAAAGACTTGAAGTTTATATGTATAATGTGAGTGCTGTTGAGCTGTTATATGGCTCGTTTGTTAAACTTTGTTGTCTTTTTATGAACGCAGCATGGTTGAATAAATCATTTTTGAATTTAATTTATAATGCATGTTCGAAAATCATTTCTTTTGTGCCCAGTTAATTGTGAATTGCAATTAAAGCTTGCATTACTTGTCCAAAGTTTTCAATGGCTATAAATGGGAGTTAGCAGGGTATTCTCCTTCCCAATGCTAGTGAACTTTGATTTAGTGATCCCATTTTCTCCACATATTTTTGTAGTGGACATTGTTAAGAAATATAGGGTTATTTTGTTTATTAAGGGTATAATAGTCCTTTATTTTTCCTGCCTTGTTTAGCTTATATATAATCTTTTTGTATTTAGGTTAAATTACTTCCTTGTATTTCAATTGAATTATGCAGTATCAATAAAACTCTAGCCTCTTCTTTTCTTATCTCTTGTATTTCTTTAGATTGTTCAAAATGGTATCAGAGCAAAGTTTCATGGACAAGGCTTAATCTCAAACACAATTTACGCGAATCCAACTTTCGCGGATCCAGTTTACACAGTTTATCAGAGCAAAGTTTGAAAAGATATTTATTCTGTTTAAACAATCTGGTATTTGTTCCGTTTTTGTAATATGGTATTTGTTTCATTTTTTACAATCTGGTTTTCTTTGTTTGTTGATTATGGCTACTGCAAGAAACGATTCGCTTTAGTCTGTGAGTGTGAGGTTGGATGGAAAGAATTCTTCGTATTGGAGTTACGTGATGAGAAATTTCTTAAGGGTAAAAAGCTATGGGGATATGTTAGTGGAACTTCTGTGAAACCTAAGAATATTGATGCGGGTTATGCTAATTTGATAGATGTCTGGGAAGCAAACAATGCAAAAATTATTACTTGGATCAACAATTCTGTTGAGCATTCTATAGGTACGCAGTTGGCAAAGTATGAGACATCAAAGGAGGTCTGAGATCATCTGCAAATGTTATTCACTCAATCAAATTTTGCAAAAGCAGTATCAATTGGAGCATGACATACGAGCTCTTCAGCAGAAGAATATGAGTATTCAGGAGTTTTATTCTGCTATGACAGATCTTTGGGATCAATTGGCTCTTACAGAATCAACTGAATTAAAGGCATGTGGTGCCTATATTGCTCGTAGAGAGCAACAACGGTTGGTACAATTTTTAATGGCACTTCGTAGTAATTTTGAAGGACTTAGAGGTTCAATTTTGCATCGTTCACCACTTCCTTCCGTTGACTCAGTTGTCAGTGAGTTATTTGCTGAAGAGATAAGTCTTAAGTCTTATTCTGACAAGGGAATTATTTCTACTTCTGATCATTCTATGCTAGCAGTACCTTCTAAACTATTCTTTCATAATCAGAATAAGCCTTACACAAGGCCTGCCTTCGATGAGTGCAATTTTTGTAAGCAGAAAGGTCATTGGAAGGCTCAATGTCCTAAGTTAAGATAGCAGAATCAATCGTAGCAGCATTCTCAAGCTTGGAAGTCTGGCAACCAGTCACAATCTAATGCTCCTAGACCACCTTAGGGTTACAAACCACCACAATCTAATACTACAGCAGTAGTTTCATCAGGTCCTTTCACCGATTCCAGTACCTTGGTTGAGCAATTTAGAAGTTTCTCTCCTTACAGCCACAAGCTATGTCTGCTTCTTCTTCAGGAGGTCAGTTGCCTTATAGTTCTCCAGGTGTGTCACATTCTGTATGGGTCTTGGATTCTGGTGCCTCACATCATATGTCTCCAGATTCTTCATCTTTTGCTTCTGTATCTCCTTCATCTTCTATTCCTGTTATGACTGCTGATGGCACTCCTATGCCTTTAGCAGGTGTTGGTTCTGTTGTCACACCTCACTTGTCTCTCCCTAATGTTTATCATATTCCAAAACTCACATTAAATCTTGCTTCTGTTGGTCAGTTATGTGATTCTGGAAATTTAGTCACATTTTCCTCTTCTTCTTGTTATGTGCAGGATCTGCAGTCTCAGAAGCTGATTGGGATAGGCCGTAGGAAGGGGGGACTATATATTTTGGATGAGTTAAAAGTGTCAGTTGATGCTGCTGCTACTAGTGTTGATTTATCTTCTTTTCGTTTGAGTCCTTCTTCTTCTAGTTTTTATTTATGGCATTCTCGTTTAGGTCATGTTTCGTCTTCTCGTTTGAGATTTTTGGCATCCATAGGGGCTTTAGGAAATTTAAAAACTTGTGATATTTTTGATTGTAGTGGATGTAAACTGGCAAAATTTTCAGCTTTACCTTTTAATCGAAGTATTTCTATTCTTCTTTTTCATTTGATTTGATTCATTCTGATGTATGGGGACCTTCTCCTGTTGCCACAAAAGGAGGGTCTCGATATTATGTTTCTTTTATTGATGATCATACTCGTTATTGTTGGATTTATTTAATGAAACATCGTTCTGAATTCTTTGAGATATATACAACCTTTCGAGCTCTTGTCAAAACTCAACATTCTACTGTTATCAAATGTTTTAGGTGTGATTTGGGTGGGGAATACACTTCTAATAAATTTGTTAAGTTGCTTGCCTTAGATAGAACTATTCATCAAACTTTGTGTACAGATACTCCTAAGCAAAATGGTGTTATTGAAAGAAAACATAGGCACATTGTTGAAACTGCTCGTTCTCTCTTGTTGTCTTCTTCTGTTCCTAGTGAGTTTTGGGTGAAGTTGTTCTTACTGTTGTAGGTTTGATTAATACAATTCCATCTTCTCATATTTCAGGTGTTTCTCCTTTTGAAAAGTTGTATGAGTATGCCCTTGATTATTCTTCATTTAGAGTTTTTGGTTGTACTTGTTTCGTTCTTCGTCCTCATGTTGAACGCAACAAGCTGTCCTCTTGATCTACTATTTGTGTCTTTCTTGGATATGGTGAAGGTAAAAAGGGGTATCGTTGTTTTGATCCAATAACTCATAAACTTTATGTGTCTCGTCATGTTGTTTTTCTTGAGCATATACCTTTTTTTTCTATTTCATCCACTACTTATAGCTTGACTAGATCTGATCTTATTCGTATAGATCCTTTTTCTGAGGATTCTGATAATTTGTCATCTCAGGTTTCTAATACTTCAAATAGCAACACTGATCATTCTACAGGTACTGACACTTTACTCTCTAGCACACCTGAAGCTACCTCCTCTCCTATGGTCCCTCAACCTTCGTCTGAGATTGTGGATCCACCTCTACGTCAATTCACACGCATTCGTAAGTCCACAAAGTTACCAGATTTTACTTATTATTGTTATTCTTCATCTTTTACTTCCTTTTTAGCTTCTATTCATTGTCTTTCTGAGCCCTCTTCCTATAAAGAGGCAATTCTTGACCCTCTTTGACAGCAAGCTATGGATAAGGAACTTTCTACTTTGCATAAGACAGGCACTTGAGATTTGGTTCCTCTACCTCCTCATAAGAGTGTTGTTGGTTGTCGGTGGGTGTATAAAATTAAGACCAATTTTGATGGATCTGTTGAGCGATACAAAGCTAGGTTGGTTACAAAAAGGTACTCTCAACAGTATGGTATGGATTATGAGGAGACATTTGCTCCTGTTGTAAAAATGACTACTATTCGTACTCTTATTGCAGTTGTTTCGGTTCGTCAGTGGCATATCTCTCAACTTGATGTTAAAAATGCCTTCTTGAATGGGGATCTTCAAGAAGAAGTTCATATGGCTCCCCCTCCTGGTGTTTCACATGATTCTGGGTATATTTGCAAGCTCAAGAAAGCGTTATATGGTCTCAAACAAGCACCTCGTGCTTGGTTTGAAAAATTTTCTGTTGTGATCTCTTCCCTTGGGTTTACTTCTAGTAGTCATGATTCTGCTCTTTTGTTAAGTGCACTGATGCAGGTCGTATCATTCTGTCTTTATATGTTGATGACATAATTATTACTGGTGATGATATTAATGGTATTTCAGTTTTGAAGACAGAGTTAGCTAGACAGTTTGAAATGAAGGATTTGAGTTCTCTACGATATTTCTTGGGTATTGAGGTAGCCTGCTCACCCAGAGGTTATCTTCTTTCTCAATCGAAATATGTTGTAGATATTCTTGAGTGAGCAAGACTTACTGATAATAAGACTGTAGATACTTCCATTGAGGTTAATGCAAAGTATTCCTCTTCTGATGGTTTACCTTTGTCAGATCCCACTTTATACCGTACTATTGTTGGGAGCTTGGTATATCTCACTATTACTCGTCCAAATATTGCATATGTTGTTCATGTTGTTAGTCAATTTGTTGCTTCTCCTACTACAGTTCATTGGGCATCGATTCTTCGTATTTTGAGGTATCTTCGGGGTACAATTTTTCAGAGCCTTTTACTTCCATCCACCTCTTCCTTGGAGCTGTGTGCATACTCTAATGCTGATCATGGCAGTGATCCCACAGATCACAAATCTATTACTGATTTTTGTATCTTTTAGGGTGATTCTCTTATTTCTTGGAAGAGTAAGAAACAATCTATCGTTTCTCAATCTTCAACTGAAGCAGAATATCGTGCTATGACATCTACTACCAAAGAGATTGTT